TATTGTTTTCTTGAGGAAATCGTCGTTATATAGTCATCATTACTTAAAACTGCTTGATACTTGACACAGTGTGATGTCCTTGTTTGATTTTTTTTATTTATACAGTGTGGATGTAACAGGTGAAACAAGCACCACAAGCTTCCTTTCAGACTGCATGCAGTCTGTAAATCCACTATATGGTTCATTATGTGGCAATCCATTTGATGACGGAACAATTAGGTACAGTATGATGATTTGGATTGTTCTTGTAAATTATTATGAGGAAATGATCTTAATTTTTTCTCTTTAGTGGTGATTCATCAGCATGTTAAGTGACAGCAATCAAGGTTCAGATAGTGATAGCTCTGGCAGTAGTGATGAAGAATTCAGGTAAATAACAAGTACCTCTGATTTCTGATTTATCTTTGCCATTGTCAACATCATAATGTTGGTACAAATTATTAGTAAGTCAGTGAAAATCTAACTGAATAAATACAATTGCTCATAATAATGCAAGATATTGAGAACTGACCTTTTGGTTTGTGATATACATAACAAAACATCAAGAATATGAAAAAAATATGACATCTTTTGATGCATAGTTTATTGACCAATCTTAGACAGAAAAGTCAGATGAAGTTTTATTTTTTTTGTGTGTTTTCAGGTCTGACAGTGATTCCCCTAGTTGTGACAGTGCTACAGTAACAGCTTTGGATATTCAAGGAGAATTAGAAATTACAATGTAAGTTATACTTTTGATACATTCTTGACAATATCAGACACATTACTGTTTTCCATTTTCATCTAATAAAATCAATCCAATGAGAAAACTTTAGCCTTGGTTGGTTTAACAGAATCTGCCTTGATCTTTAACACTATACAAAAAAGGCAGATACAAGCTAGCTGTACTATTCTTTTTTGTGTTTTCAGGTCTGACAGTGATTCCCCTATTTGTGACAGTGCCACAGTTACAGCTCTGGATATTGAATCAGAAATTACAATGTAAGTCTTGAGCCTTTTTTTTACAATTACTCTTTGTCCATGTTTTTGTTAAAATCATGATGAGAAAAATTCAGCCTTAATTGAACGTCTGCCTCAATAACAACAGTATACAAGGTATACAAGTACAAGTATACAAGTACCTCTGAAACAGGTATATACTATTCTATTTTTTTGTTTACAGGTCCGACAGTGATACCCGTTGTGACAGTGCCACAGTTGGAGAAGAGGTGATGGAAGTAGTGCGAGGACAAGAACAAGAAAGAAATGATGATCCAGTGTATGGCCCAGAAACAATGAAAGAAAGCCTGGATAAGTTGAAAGAAGCCATAAATGATAAATTTGAAGATGTAAAGAAACTCAAGCATGATGTAAAACATTTTGAGAAGTTTATAGACTTTCAAAGGGTTATTGCTGAGGTAGCTCAAATAGAGGAACTATTCCATGGTAAATGCCAAGTGGCAGAATGCACAAACAACAGAAAAATTACCTATCGAAAAATTGAGAATGGTGTTCTAACTATTTCTTACTCTTGCCCCGATGGCCACAGTGGAATGTGGCATTCTTCATCACTACAAGGGCACAAGAGAGGACAACGGATGTTTGCTATTTCAACACTGCTATCTTCATCTGTACTAGTAACTGGCAATAATTTTGATAAAGTGGAATTGTTGTTTAAATTTCTCAACTGTGCTTTTGTTTCAAAGAGCACCTTTAATCGTATGCAGTCATTTTATGCAGTACCGGCCATTGCCGAGATGTGGAAGAACATGAAAGATGGATTAGAAGATATTTATAAGAATGAGACAGTGGTGTTATGCGGCGATGGCAGAATGGACTCCCCAGGTTTCAGTGCAAAGTATTGTGTCTATTCAATAATGGAACAACACTTGGGGGTAATCCTGGACATGGAAATAGTAGACAAAAGGGAGGCTGGGGGTACATCAACTGTTATGGAGAAGATAGGTCTTAAGAGGCTGTTGGAGAGGCTCATGCATAAGATCAACATAGGAGAACTTACAACTGATGCATCATCAACTGTTATAAAACTTGTACGTGATTTAAAAGGTTTGTTTCTATATTATATTGCTGTTTGTACTGTAGAGGAGTTACTGCCATCCTGCTGGGTTTAAATTTGAGTTACAACACAATACAAAACAAATGTTTTTGTCTGATGTGTGAGTGATGGTTTTAAAACAGGCTTTAGTTGTCAAGTTTAGATTTTTTATTGCTTTAGGTCTTCACAGTAATAAACTAAAGCAGCTTGTTCACTCCTTGGATATCTGGCACAAAGCATGCAAACTTACTGCAAAACTGACAAAGGTAAACTAACTATAAGAAAAAACTGACTTCACTACTATTCAGTAACAAAGAGAATGTCTTTCAATAATTTGCTTAAAATCAGAACTTCCAAACTTCGTTTCTGCGAGGGAGTATTGCTGTTGATATTCATGTGTCCTGTTTATCATGTATATTTAAGGCTGCCAAAATAAAGGGAAATGAGGACATACGTCAGTGGATTGAGCCAATTCGAAACCACTTCTGTCATTGTGCTGAGATTGCTAGTGGAAGTGAAAATGACTTAAAAGTGAGTAAATTGTAAATACTGCGATTTAAAAGTACAGCAAACTTGTTCATCTAATATGTACATTACATGTAGGCATATGTTTGATGCTTGGCATCATTATGGTTGATGTATTGATTGTGTTTTAAAATGCATCTATTACTCTTCATCAATACTCATCAGCAGGTGAAGTGTATCTTGAAACATATTGACTACATTGTATATCATGAACTGAAATTGATATTTAGTGCCAGCACTCCACATGAAATATTTTACATATCATAAAAACTTGTGAATTAAACATTCAAACACAAAACCTTTACACTGTTGCCTTTTTTTGTTATTGTATATTCAAGTCACTGGTTGGCAGCGGTGTTTTAACTCCACTATATGGACTGTAGAACAAAGTTGATGATTTCTTCTTTTTAAATTTAGAATGCATGGCTTGGAATTGTACATCACATATGTGGTGAACATGAGTGGGCTGAAGGAAAGTGTGCTCATGGGCCTCTGACAGAACTTGAAAATAGCAAGAAGTGTTTGTCACAAGGTTCCAAGTCTTTTAAAGCAGTACAAGACATTATTCTCAATCACAAGTGGCTGGACTCCCTTAAGTTTTATGTGTACTTTAGGTATTCCTATCACAGACATTTTCAGTTCTGTTCCAAAAAAAAAAAATATCAGTAGATTACAAACACTAAAACTGTGCAACATAAATACCACTAAATACTGCTAATTCTATTGTTTTCTATTGTTTAATTAACACCATTTTGTATTAAATAGTGGAAAGTGTTGCACACATTTAATGTTTGTACTCTATTACTATTAGATAGTGCTTTTTCCAACAATATAAAAACTAATTATTATTCATTTATTTCACATTTTTTTAGGCATACAGGGCAGCTAGAGAGCTTCAACTCCATGATGCTCAAATATGCACCAAAGAGGAATGCATTTAGGTAATAGATTAGCATGTTCTATATCAGAAACTAAATCTATCAATAAAGCATTGTTTGTACCCTAAATGATAAATGGAAATGTACTGCTGGTAATGTCATATATTAATATATTATTTCAGCAAAAAATCTGTCCTTTTAATGGTTCAGACATAAATGAATTGCTGTCACTAGAACTAACCCAGTTTGTGCCAATTTATCAAATGAGTAGTTTTGTAAAGAAAAGTGAAAAAGCAGATCCACACAAATGTGACTTCAGCCATGTCCATGGTGCATGTTTGATTGTGGTAAAAAATCAGTCTTAGAGTCTAAATTGAAATTGCATTACAGCTATGATGGATTCACTGCCCGTGTACAACTTGCAGCAATGGACCACAATTTCCATCTCTTTCGTCCAGTCATTCCAGGAAGAGGAAAGAAAGTCTACTCTAAGCGATCAAAGAATTGGAGGATCCAGTCTGTGAAGAAAGAAAAAACATACAAATTCTNAACAAAATTTTACTACTTTAGCATGATAGTCAAATAAACAAGAAAGAAAACAATGCCTTTGGAGAGTACTAAAATGTACATTAATGAAATAACTATTTTGCAGGATTTTTTTGTTACTTCAATCTAGACTTAAAATATTTATGAGTGCAAGAACTAAACATTGGAACAAAACATAGATGCACATAACCTCAACAGCTGAACTCATACATAACAAGTGGTAAATAAAAACTTTTTAGGATGTCAGCTCCAGCTGGGATGTAGCAACAACAAAGATGTTCTTTATAAATTAATGTAATATAGATGTCCTTTTTTTAAATATGTCTAATAAATAACACATGTGACATAAATATTATGATTGCCTAAATCCCATGTAAACATTGTCTTCTGAGGGATATGCTCTCCGAATAGCCCTGACCACACATGCAGGCACAACTTTTCTGTTCCCCCTACCTAATTTGCCATATTTCCAGAGGATATATGTCCTGTAGGCTGTCTTGCGGTATCCATTCATGGAATAGTCTGGTAAATCTGCTCTTATATCACATCGAGCACGGATAGCTATTTCCAATGCCAGTCTATCGATACATGAGTTGTGGAAAGCTGAATAGGATGTTACACATCTTGCCTTTTTACAACACTTATTTTCCTCTTCATTGGGCATTGCCTCGCAAACTCCACATATGCACCATGCCAAATGGTTGTTCCTGGGTTCTGGAGGAGGCTCATCAGGATTTTCCAGTTCATGGACAATGTTTTGGGCAAAATCAAGGCTTCCACGACCCTGGCTAAGTACCCTTATGAGTAGTCTGGTTTTCATTTCTTGTGACAAGGGGACCACAAATTCCTATAAAATTTGACATACAGTAAAGCTGTCAAACAAAACAATATATATAAACAAATTCATCAACTATTAGAAACCCCAAAAGCTCTACAACATAACGAGTTACAAATGAATTTATTTTCAGTTGTACGTTAGATCTTTACATAAATTTTCACACAAAATGAAATGTCCACAAGACTAATATTCTGTGAAGAGAGCCATATTAGATCAGCTATAAACGACAAGTTTCGTATGTAATAGAGTAGAAAAGCTCCATATACGATATAAACATACAAACTTCAATAAATCATAACTTTACGAAGCCAAGACTTGTGAACAAGTTTATATTAGTCAGTTTAGAATGACAGAGGAAATGAGGGTCAAGTGAATTCAGTGTAAGAAAATATAATAAAGACAGGAAAAGAGTATTTGAAAAGCAACATAAAGCGCTTTTGTCTTTTTCTTTTTAGGATTTGCTAATTATTACAAGGAAGAATTTTTCAACTCTTGCAAGTAAAAATATTATTTTACCTCGATGGCTTTCTCTGCATCCAAGACTGCTTGTCGATGCCTTTCAAAGGCGCTTGGTTCTCTTGTGGCAGCTGGAGCCTCGCTTCCTCCTACAGCTCTTAGCTCAGTTTTGTTCATACAAGCCTTTTTCTTCGTGCCACAATTACAACTTGTGCCACATTTTTCATCCGAGTTGCGACAAGGGCAGCCAGGAAATTTCGCGGTGCGTTTACGACTGCACGTATTTTTGCACTGACAAGTCTGATAAGAAAAATACGACTAAGTCGGAAGTATTYAAAAGATTGAAAAATGGCAACCTATTACTCACAGTACGCTGAACTAGAGGAGCTTGTTCGACTTCAGAAGCTTGAACTTCCGATGATTGAGACATTATTACATGATGGTGATCAGCGCTTGGAGGTGCGATCGGAGAACCGTAAGCGTTACGTTCATGATAACTGGTTCCCTCGATATCCAAGCTAACACTTGAATCACTAGAATCACTTTCCATATCAGTTTAGTTATCCAGTTCACAGACATAAAAGAAGAATGAGCAATACACATCGGCACGGACTTCCAAAACTCTTGAAGTTGTAAATAGCGAAGCTCGGGGCCCTGGGGACGAGGTTGAAATGCCCGTATGTAAACAAAAACAGAAGCGCGCAAAGCATCAACGGTGGCAAGGATCCTTTAAAGCCCAAAGAGGTGATCCTGGGAAAGAGTGAAGATCCNACGACAGTTTAAGCTTTATTCTGGACACTCAAACAAAGGAAGTAATCAATCCAACCGCCATTAAGCAAATGTTTGAAATTGACTTTGCAGAGCGCAAGGGAGAATCACAAAACGGCCTGTCAGCAGAGGACAGAAAATTTTTATCTATTGTAAATGAAGGAGTAAATCAACTTGAAGATGGACACTATGAGCTTCCATTACCATTAAAGGACGAGTGTAACCTGCCCTTTAACRGCAGCACTGCTCAWCGTCGCTTAAATAACTTGAAGAAGAGGTTTGAGTCTAACACGCAGTATAAAGAAGACTACGTAAAGTTCATGAACGGCATTATCAAGAACGGATTTGCTGAGAAGATCACAACAGCGAACAATACAAAGAAGGTGTGGTACATTCCTCACCACGGAGTGTATCKCCCTAACAAACCAGGCAAGATTCGTGTCGTTTTTGACTGCGCAGCAGAATGCAACAATGACTCATTGAACAAGCATCTATTGCAAGGTCCAGACCTAACAAACAACCTGATTGGCGTACTCTGTCGTTTTCGCCAAGAACCTACAGCCTTTATGTGCGATATTGAAGCCATGTTCCATCAAGTGAAGGTCAACTCAGAGCACAGAGATCTATTGCGCTTTTTGTGGTGGGAGGATGGCGATACAAGTCGTGATCCAACAGATTATCGCATGACTGTTCATTTATTTGGTGCGACATCGTCTCCAGGGTGCGCAAACTTCGCTCTTAAGACGGTAGCAAATGACCACGAGAAGGAGAATGGGACAGCAGCAGCTAATCTCCTGAGAAATGACTTCTACGTAGATGATGGTCTTAAGTCTACAGCCTCGACAGAAGAAGCAGTGAAGCTTATCAATGACGTGAAGAAGATGTGCAAAAATGGAGGATTCAACCTGCATAAGTTTGTTTCTAACAACAAGGAAGTGATCAGAAGCATCAACGAAGAAGACAGAGCTGAAGCGATGAAAAACATCAATCTGGACCTGGACTCCCTGCCCATCGAGCGTGCCCTAGGAATTCACTGGTGTACAGAATCCGACTCTTTTCGTTTTGACATCGTGCTGCCAGTTAAACCAACAACGAGACGAGGAATACTGTCAACTGTTAGCTCTATGTTCGACCCTCTAGGCTTTGTAGCACCAATACTTCTTGAAGGGAAGGCAATTCTTCAAGAGCTCTGCAGACACAACGTTGGATGGGACGATCCAATACCTGAGAATGTAAAGGCAAGATGGAGGGCATGGAAAGAGCAATTACAGACAGTGCAGTCGGTTACCATACCAAGATGCTACAAACCGAACGACTTCGGTATTGTAGTTCGCATTGAGCTTCACCATTTCTCGGATGCCAGTGTGAAAGGATATGGTCAGTGCAGCTACCTACGCCTTATAGACGACTGTCGAAGAATCCACTGTGCGTTAGTAATGGGAAAGTCTCGAGTAGCGCCGTTGAAGCCTGTCACCATACCAAGGCTAGAGCTCACCGCCGCTGTATGCTCGGTTCGAGTCAGCCAGCAACTACGTCAAGAATTAGAGTATCCAGTCGACGAGGAAGTATTCTGGACAGATAGCTCTGTTGTTCTTGGCTATATCAGCAACCAAAGTCGACGGTTTCATGTGTATGTAGRTAATAGAGTTCAAAAAATTCAAGACAACACTTCTGTAAACCAATGGAGGTACGTGGAATCCAAACACAATCCCGCGGATGGTGCGTCGAGAGGTATAAAAGCGCAAGATATCTCTGAATCAAGGTGGGTCCTAGGACCTGCGTTTCTATGGAAACCAGAAAGTGAGTGGCCTGAAAGCTGTAAGTCAGAAACCAAAGCAAACCAGGATTTACAAGAGGATGACCCGGAAGTAAAGAAATCAGTTGCTATGGCAACCAATTGTGCAGAACAATCACTGAAGATGGCAACATTAGAAGAAAGGATATCCTACTTCTCTGACTGGTTTCGCGCAAAGAGAGCAGTGGCTCTATGTCTACTGTACATCAGACGTCTTCGTGACCGTGTTCATAAGAATGGATATAGTGATAGAAAGCTAGACGTCAGTATTATCGAAGATGCTGAAGGAGTGATACTTCGCACAACGCAAGCCAAAGNTAATAGAGTTCAAAAAATTCAAGACAACACTTCTGTAAACCAATGGAGGTACGTGGAATCCAAACACAATCCCGCGGATGGTGCGTCGAGAGGTATAAAAGCGCAAGATATCTCTGAATCAAGGTGGGTCCTAGGACCTGCGTTTCTATGGAAACCAGAAAGTGAGTGGCCTGAAAGCTGTAAGTCAGAAACCAAAGCAAACCAGGATTTACAAGAGGATGACCCGGAAGTAAAGAAATCAGTTGCTATGGCAACCAATTGTGCAGAACAATCACTGAAGATGGCAACATTAGAAGAAAGGATATCCTACTTCTCTGACTGGTTTCGCGCAAAGAGAGCAGTGGCTCTATGTCTACTGTACATCAGACGTCTTCGTGACCGTGTTCATAAGAATGGATATAGTGATAGAAAGCTAGACGTCAGTATTATCGAAGATGCTGAAGGAGTGATACTTCGCACAACGCAAGCCAAAGCCTTTAAGGAAGAAATCAGCGCTGTCAGAAAGCTCAACGAGAGAGTTGACGACTCCTGTAACAGAGAGTACGCCACTCAGCAGAAAAACGCAATGAAATTACAGAGTTCACTTTACAAGCTGGATCCATTTATAGATGAATCGGGGCTTCTACGAGTTGGCGGACGACTCAGACGCGCAGCTATGAGTGATGAAATCAAATATCCAGTTATACTACCAAAGGGACATCACACCACCGAGCTTATCATCAGACATTACCACAAGGCAGCCAAGCATCAAGGTAAAACCACCACATTGAACGAGATACGTGCCAATGGGTTCTGGTTGATTGGAGGTTCGTCTGCAGTTAGCCAAATCATCATGTCATGTGTTAGATGCCAGAAGATGCGTGGAAACCTACAAGGGCAAAAGATGTCAGACTTACCTGAAGATCGTATGGAGTGCGTTCCTCCTTTCACCTATTCTGCTGTGGACTTCTTTGGTCCCTTTACTATCAAAGAGGGACGCAAGGAGCTCAAGAGGTATGGTGCATTATTTACATGCATGGTCTCAAGAGCAATTCATCTTGAGATTGCAAAATCTCTCGAAACAGATTCATTCATTAATGCACTACGACGATTTATCAGTCGTCGAGGACCGATACGCCAATTGAGATGTGACCAGGGAACTAATTTCGTTGGAGCACGAAACGAACTTAAAGAAGCCCTAGCAGAAATGAACAAAGAAAGGATCAAGACAGTGCTAGTGGAGAATAACTGTGATTGGTTCACATTCAAAATGAATGTACCATCTGCAAGCCATATGGGGGGAGTATGGGAGCGCCAGATACGATCAGTGCGCAGCATACTCTCCTCATTTCTTGAAGACAACGGAGAGCAACTTGACAAAGAATCTCTACGAACCCTGATGTGCGAGGCCGAAGCAATCGTCAATAGCTGCCCTCTCACCACAGATCAGCTAAGTGATCCTGATGCACCACGCCCATTGACTCCCAACCACCTGCTGACCATGAAGTCAAAGATTGTACTTGCCCCACCTGGTTCATTTGACTCAGCTGACGTCTACTGCAGGAAACGCTGGAGACGTGTGCAACATCTATCAAATGAATTCTGGTCAAGATGGAGAAAAGAATTTCTTCTAAACTTACAGCAACGTCAGAAGTGGACACACCCACAGAGGAACTTGCGCGTTGGCGACGTCGTGATGATAAAGGATCAGAATCTACCAAGAAACGTTTGGCAGTTATCCCGTGTGTCGTCAGTCTACCCAAGTGCTGATGGTCAAGTGCGCAAGGTCCAAGTGGCTCTTGCGGACAGTCACTTGGACAACAACGGTAAAAGACGCAGCCCTATAAAGTTCCTGGACCGACCAGTCCACAAGTTAGTGCTACTGATGTCTACAGATGGTAACAATTCACCGGAGTAATTCCCAGCCGAGGAGCCAAACAAGT